CTAGCACTAAGTTGCTAACTGGTTAGCAAGATGCTTCCGATAAACCGGCCACAACAAAACATGCTTGCAAAACTTTTGCCACAACAATCCCGCCCTGTAGATAATCGACCAATCACATTCACTTTATTCGCTCGTGTAAAGTCGGGCACCACTCAGGATAATTCAGAAATGCAACGATTAGAACAGCTGCTTTCCTACGACTTTAATAAATAAGTAAAAAAAATGCTCGGTCAGCTAAGGTGAATGTTAAAAAACTTGTGGACCAGCACCTTGTTAAGGAACTAAATATTATATTGCATCAAAGTATACATTCTTGGAACAATAAAGTGAATCAAACAGGAAAGCTAAACTCCAGATTACTCCTCCTCTGGACCAAAAGTTGGAGGGATCTCCACGCCGTTGATGAAACCGCGTCCATCTATGAAATACGCTGATTTTCCGTCTTCCCTTCTAGACTGAATTAAACGATCAAGTCCAGACGTTAGATTTATGACAGCTTGTTTATGTTATTAACTTCGTCGTAGCTCTTTATTTGCGTCACTTATTTCTAGAAAGCAGGAACAACCCTTCCCTCAGGCTCAAAGAAATCCTGCTCTATAATAGAAAAAAACAATCCTGTATATACAATAATAGGATAGTTGATAAACAGACTATCCCAGCATGCATTGCTTTAACAGAATTACTTCTCTTTTTTCTAATAAATGTTCCAAAAACGTAATAATAATAAAAAAAAACAATCCACTGGACTTTTTTTTCCAAGTTTGAAGATGTTTCTCTTCCCCTTCAGGGAGCTTTTTTAATTCAAAATGTCAGATATAGCATTGAGTTCCAGGACCAACACAAAGCCTTGTTTTGGCTTAGAAACAGTTAGCAGTTAGTTGGTATTTGAATGGAAAGCAGGGAGGAGTCCTGACTCCATTAGAACAGGTTGTGGCTGTCTGCCTTTAGCTCGTGTCTCATCAGGTTGGGTTAAATACTGAACCCAAACAGCAAATAATGCCTCATTAACGCGTGAAGTAGCCAGTAGTAACTAGCATAAGATTCCTTAGTGCTGCAGTTTGTCAGAAAGCAATTATGTTCTGGTTTCAGATGGAGAACTCAACGTTCTGGAGGATCTACTGACCGAAGCTCCGGATCAGGATGACGAGCTGTACAACCCAGAGACTGAGCGAGAGATCAGTGACAAGAAAGGTACCAAACGTTGTACAACAGGTCTGGACTCGGTTCCAGAATCTGGACTAGAATGGCCATTTAGATGTATGATGTTATAAATCTCTAAAAATCCAAACTCTGTTCTGGTCTAATCACCTGAAGCTCGGTTCTGCCTCATGATACCTTCAGACCATAAGCAGCAGAAGCAGCAAAATTGGGCGTTCTGCTTCATTTTTGATGCTTGTAGAAGTTCAGTTCTGACAATCGGCTGAAG